CCCTCCTGGAACAGAGACCACGATGATACGGCATCGACGCGCTCTGGGGGAACCCCCGGACCTTCCAGCGGGGGACACACATCACACAGCGGGGACAACAGCAGTGAGCAAGGTAGGAATGGAGCCATCATTGCTTTCTTAGCTGGCGAGCGGTCACTGTTGCACTCAGGGACTGGTTACTCTCTTTCCAATGTTGAAATGTGCTTGGGTATTTGGGGGTTTGTGCTGAGAAAGGTCCATCTTCCTTTTTTTTGACACTTTTTTTTACCATCTCTTCGTATAAGAAGGATTGGCATCTTTGTTTCTTCGACCCTGCCAGCAGGCACGTGTTAGAGCAACATATGTACCAGATTTGCAGTATGCTTAATAAAAATAAGCAAAGAGAAGTTGGTGGTTGTTTTTTTTTTCCCCTTCATTCAAATGGGTTAAAAGATGAAATCTTCAAAAGCAGACGTAATTAAGATTGCAGAAATGCATGCTAATATTTCAAAGATGCCATCAAAACTTTGCTGCATGTAAAGTGGTTAGCTGGCCCATTTTACAAAATCTGGAGCAGTGCTTTTATTTACTATTTTTACTCAATTCCAATTTACTTGAATGCAAAAATGTTTTGTTTGAGTGCCAGGCCAGAGCAACTGATTTAGCAGGACAAGTATGAAACAAGCTTGGTGCAAGTGAAGTGGGACATACCACAAATGATTAACGCTGACTCAGAAGCTCCGAAGTCTAAAAAGCTGGAATTCTGGGTTTTTTTCTGAGAAGCTGTTTAAATACTTCTTATTTTTTTCTAAAGAAACCAACTGCAGTGGATTTAGTGTTAATTTAATGCAATTAAAATGTAAAAAGGATCCTTAATCTGAATATAAAAGAGAGTGCTTTATTGAAGTTGACTCTGAACTCACAATAGGTATATACTTTTAAATCTGGTTTTATGATCATGTTTCATTCGAGTGCTGTTAGACAACAAAGGAATTGTGTTTCCCAAAAAAGTTTGAACAGTACTGATTAGCATGGCACAGTCTGCATTTAACAAGATTAGTTTTTAAACCAAACCAGTATATTTTAATTTTTTATATGCATGGACCTAACATACATGGTGAATAACATCTCTTTATAGAATTTTAAGTATTTGAGACACTTCATTGTTTAAAGAAAAGTTGCTGATTTCATCGCAAGCATAGCCTAGTAAAAATGGGGCCTGGAATAGTAAACTGTTTCAGAGCTGAGGCAGAAACTGGTAACCTTCTGACCTCTAACTTTTACTGGAAAATGATATGCAACATAAATTCAGGGGGCCTTTTTTCTTTCAAGTATGTATACGTATATATTCTAGTGGTGCTGTTCACAATGCTATAGTTGAAGTGGTGTCAACATGTTCATTAGAGCCGCTTGCTTTTGGAGCAAACTTTAAATCCATGGGGTTTTTAAGAGTGAAAAAGCTGCTGCAAAAATAGCCTTTGAACTAAATATTTGGAGGACTTCTTTGTACTCGGTTAGGGCTGTTCTTTTATCAGATGGATGTGCGCATGTTTATGTGTATATTGTATGTGGACAAAACATCTGTGGGTAGGCTTGCCAGCGTGCTCCTAAAACGCTTGGGCTCTTTGGAAACTGAGCTACTCAGTTCCTGATGTACTTTTAAAAGATTTTTCAGGCTTCATGTTCTCTTAAATGTGGCATTTTACTAGTGGTGAGTGCCAGTCGTATCTGATGTTTTATCATCACTGTCCTGGTTGGCTCCTAGCAAGGTGCATGCTATAACTTTGGTCAGGAAGCATTTTCTAACGGGACTTAAGAGCTTGAATCCTATTACATATCTATCTGCAGAAAGACTTGTCAGTGATGCTTTAGTTGGTTCAGACAGTTGAGTATGGTTTGTGGAGGCTGCCAGCACTTGGTAGATGAGTTTCATGAAGAAGGCAAACTTTAGGGAAGAGTGAACAATAGTGGGAATTTGATGACTGGAGCTCTCAGGTCAAGTTTGGGAAAGGAGTTTTGGAAAAGAGACCCTGTCCAGGAGGTCTCTATTTAAGGTCTCACTTGCCTTCAGGCCATGTGCCACCTATGGAAATAGCTTTTTTTTTTTTGAGGAATGGGGATGTGGGAAGGGTGTTGGTGCTCTTGCTGAGCATTGCTTTTGGTCTTGTTTGCTCAAAGCCCTCTGAAGGTTGAGATTATGAGGAAATCTCATTTGTTACAGCACACCCATACCTGCGTATACACCTTGTGCAAAAAAAGCGTGGTTTTAGCCTTCCCACACGGGGAAGAAGTCAAAACCCACCATCCTGAACGACCAAAGGGGAAGAGAAGAAAAAAGATAGCAAATATCCTGCCTCTCCCTAATTACCTTTAAGTTCACAATGTGTGATTTGGAGGAATTTCTTCTGTGGCCTGATGTGAGGAGTGGCAACACTATGGGTAAACTCACATACTCACCTCTGCTGGATGCTTTGCTTGGCAGCAGGCATGGCCAGCGTGGCACTGCCTCAGAAGCCAGGTTCCAAGGAAGGGTGGCAGCAAAAGTCTCGGGACCCCCATGCTCATGCCTGCAAGCACAGGCGTTAACTCGAGATGCATAAGTTGCGTGACATATATTTAGTATATTATGGGCTTCCCTATTTTTAGGAGTTTGTAAAAGTTCCTCTTGGTTCCATCTGTCAAGAGTGCGTTTGCCATTTAGAAAAACAAAACTAATCACCAGAAATATCACCCTCTAAAGCTGTCTATTTTTAGGTTGTTCCCACAACCTACTTCCCTAGTTGGGGTAGGTAGAAGCACCTTCTGGGCCATGTTTCCAACCTGGCTGCAGGTATCACAAGGATGCGAGTGTGAGCTTGCATTTTTACGGAGGCACACAGACTGGAAAGCTTAAGCCCCTTAACAAAAGTTTTCTTCCCCCACCCTTAACCCAGGCTCTGTTGAGGTCTATTCTTGGACTTCTGGGGATTTTTTCTTCTTTACCTGATTCATTACTGCTTTTAATCCCGACAAAGTGCATTTTTTAACCTATTTATGTCCCTATGTACAACATGTTACCTTTGAAAACATGAGAGAGATGCTCTTGCCTGTACACATTTTAAAGTATTTTTTGCTGTGTAAATTTATTTACTTAGTAAATAGTACTGACTCCCAGCTGCTTCGATCTGTTGTAGAAATCCATATTTAACTGCTAGGGAGCTGTTCTGGGGTCTCGTGCCACTGAACAGCGGGATATGTTATTGCATAGCACGTTGACACAACCTCTTATAAAGGCCCGGTATTGTGTCATCGTAGGGGATGGTTATAGTACAGGAATGCAGAATAATATTGTGAAAAAGTTTCATGGGTTATTTTCCCATTGCTCTGAAGTTATCGTGAAGGGCCTTCGGAGGTCTGACATAAATGGTGCAAAGGGGTCTGAATTTAGACGGGGGGGAGAGAACTTGTTAAATTCTATTAAAAACCAAAAAGAAGCAAGTTCTTGGGTGCAGAACAGCTTTAACGTACCGCATATTCTAACTTTAAAAGATTCCAGTTTGGGGTATTAGCAGATCTATTTTGTTTGTTTTTCAAGTAGTGAGGCCAGGAGGACACTGAACAAAGCCATGGTACAGTCACTTTTAATCCAGAGTGAGGCTCTTTAATTCCCATGTTTAGCTCTCCTACACGGCTTAAAAGCGAAAGAAAAATAATCCATCAGTGTCTCCTGTTTGTGTGTATTGTTTCTTTCCCATTTTTTTTGTGCAAGCCTCGGCCTGGGTTCAAAACATTTTTTTAACCTCCAAATAATTGTTGCTCTTTCAAGCCGGGAATAGAAAGCAGCGATATTTCTTTATAAAAATGTATCAATGGCTGCAATGGTGTTTTTTTTTCCAGGCTTTTGTAGGAGTTCGGGCAACCTTTAGGCAAAAAGGCAATCGCGTTTATTATTGCTGGGAATCTCAAGGCGGTTGTTTGGAGGCTGCGAAGGCAGGCGACAGAGCCGGGTGGAGGGGGAGAGAAGGGCCACATTATGTTCCAGATGACTGAGCAAGGATTTATATACCAGCTCGCCTTTTTTTTTTTTAACATGGGAGAAGAAAAGTAATAAGAGCAGGGAGGCATTTGAAGCGGTCAGATGGCCGATGACTAATGGGATAGGTGGGCAGGAGCCTGCGGATTGGGTGTCTTAATGAGCACATTTCGCACCGAGTTTGGGCTGCAGTTCCCCTTCACCTTTGCCCTTTATTGACCGAACTGACACTTCATTTTTCACATACTTCCAATTATGGCTGAGCTTAAGTGTTGCCCTGCCTCCTTTCTTTCTTGCCTATGGACGGCTCGAGAGTGGCTGAGGCCGCAGAAGATATTTTAATTTGAAAAACTACCATAGCAAGGCAGGTTTAGGGTGTAACCTGAAACTGCTGTCACTTTGCAGTTTCTCCGATGAAAACAAAAGTTTTAATGTTTCTTGTTTAGTGCTTCCAACCCCCCCTTTCTCCATGTTGAGTGGTGAGGTGGGGGATTGCTTTGGGGGCAGTTGGGTTGGAGAGGGGTGTTTTCCTTGGGGTAAATCCTTTTTGGCAGTACAGGTGCTGTAGGTGAGAGTCACCCAAGTAATGATGTGAGCCCAAGTAAAAAGCAGTGCCATGCTGGAGTAATAACTCCTTGTTCCCTCTCAGTGCAGTGTCTTCTCAGGAGGCTTCTTGTGATGTGATGGCCTGTGGTGTACTTTGCCTAATGCTCTCCTTATGGAAAAGCAAAGTGTAATTGTGCCTGCTCGTCTCAAGCCTTAGACCAAAGGTGTGGATTTGTTGTTTTGGTACTATCTATTGCATGAACGCGGTTCAAGTGTGGCCTGGTTATGAGGCTTTGAGAAGCAGATGATGATGATGCTGGGAGAGGCAGGTATGATGAAGGCATGGACAAATCTCCAGTCCACAGCCACACCTTTGACATACAGGGAGAAGCGTGATACATGTCCCACAGCCCAAACCTTTGTGCACTTCCAGGGTGGCTTTTATACACAGAATCCTTCCAGGGCGGAAATGTCTGTTTGCTTTTGCAGGGCTTTGGGGGTTTCGGAGCATGCGGTTTTCCTACCAAATGTGAATTCTGTCGGAAATAGTTGGAATAAGTTGCACTCGCATGGGA